TTTACGCTATGAACTGTTTTTGTAATGTTATTCAGAAAGATAATCTAAAATATATAATAACTTAGACTAAGTAAAACAAGTGTAAAAAGAACCTCGCGAAAATATCTTTTTTGGAGTCTTCAAAGGATAAATTTTTCTGAACAGCGCAAATGATTTCCTTTGCTTAAATAATGGCTCCAGTATTTTTTCATGTTGCAGAAGCTTGTGATATATTAACGGCCCATCTTGGCTGGTACAACCGGCACTTAATTAAGGCCGGGTAAATTAATTTATCATTATGTACAGGAATTTTGTATTATGACAAGCCTGGAAGGTTGTGATTTAGCATGTAAAGAAATCACTGGTAACAGACGCGATTGGATGCGATGGATAGCTTTTGTTTTATTTTCGCGTTTTTTGATGAAAATGACTGAATCTCTGAAGTTGGCAAAGATGAGAAAATCTTCCTATTTTATACGTTTCTTATTCTAAATAAAAATAAAAGTTAATTAAAAAAAGATAACATTGTAAAATGAATAGAATATGTATAATAATGCGATAAATGAAGATCTGTATGTAATGTTTAGTTCGAATATTTTATTTTTTCTTTTTTTGCTATTCATAATTAAAAATTATCAATTATTATAGAAATAAATTTACATATATATATGTACATATTTACAATACAATTTTATTTAAAGCGTCGCTTAATAATCGGCGGCGTTACTAGCCAGATAATCGCGACGCCCAATATTAGATGCCTGTTTATTCTGTACAGCTTCCAGTTTTGGACACTCTGTGATTCTGTGTCCAAGTCCACCACAATAACTGCAGCCATGTTCATCTACAAAAACAAGGAAAATAAATGTTTAGAAATAAAACAAGAGAAATTCATAATAAAAATAAAAAAAATATATAAAATTTATTTAATATCATACCTCCCAAATTGAGATATTTTTCGTTTTCTGAGCAGAGTTCCAGTAAGAATGGTGGAACTTTTTGTTTTGCTTCCATCAACAGATGTTTAAGATCGAGTAATACTGATTCATCGTTCGCTTTATTGATGAAAGTTGTTGCTATACCAGTACGTCCGGAACGACCAGTTCGGCCTATTCTGTGCACTAAAAATTACAGAAGTATATTAAACATTTATTTCCTATCATTTTTATCATCAATTTTCGTATCGTAATATTGTAATATCGTAATATATTACCATAATTTTCTACGTCGTCCGGCATGTCGTAATTAATAACGTGTTGAACATCGGCGAAATCAAGACCTTTCGATGCAACGTCTGTCGCAACAAGCACGTCTTTCTGACCCGCGCGAAAGGCTTCAACTGAACGTGATCTTTCCTCTTGGTCTAAAAGTATATAATGAAATAAATGAATAATTTAATTCATTTTGATATTTCAATATTGGAAGATTAATACGATTTTTATCGATAATTCAATAATTGATATTAAGATTGAGTAAAAGATATAGTTTATTCGAAATATCACGTACCTATTCCTCCATGTATCGCAACAGCTTCCACTCCTTTTATAAGCAAATATTCATGGATTGCATCTACGTCACGCTTCTTCTCTGCAAATATCAAAACCGGTGGTGCGGTTTTTTGAAGACATTCCAAGAGATAAACGATCTTCGCCTCTTGCTTAACATACTCCACTTCTTGTATCACATTCATCGATGCGGCGCCAGCACGGCCAACATTTATCGTTACAGGTTTCACCAAAGCCGAACGCGCAAAATTTTGAATTCTTTTTGGCATAGTAGCGGAAAATAAAAGTGTTTGCCTCTGACCCTATAATAAATGATTATCATTTTAACAAACATTTTATATTTCTTATCGTATAAGATACATGAAAATTGAAATATGTAATAATAATAATTACCCTGAAAAATGAAAATATGGTTCGCACGTCTTCTTCGAACCCCATGTCTATCATGCGATCCGCCTCATCCATACAGAGATAACGGCATACGCTTAAAGTGACCATCTTTTTATGTAACATATCCATTAATCGTCCCGGTGTTGCTACCATTATGTGTACACCTCTACAAATAACGTAAGAAATGTTTGGGTAAAAAATTAAGAATAAAAACATAATATAACAACAATAATAAATACCAACTTGTTAATTATAGCTAACGACTCCGAAACCGGCACACCTCCAATCGCTAAACAGCAGCGTATTTCCGGACAATTAGCTTGTCTTAAACTATTGGTGTAGTGCCGAATTATGTCGTAAGTTTGCTTAGCCAATTCTCTCGAAGGACATATTATTAAACCTATAGATGAAAAGATACGATTGACATATGTGTGCATTTATTAATCAGACATTATTTTACTTATAATTAAAAACATTTACCATAGGGCCCTTCTTTTTTAATGAATGGCATATCGATTTCTTGTTCCAGACAGAATTCAATGATAGGTAAAACAAACACCAATGTTTTACCACTACCAGTAGAAGCTATACCGATCATGTCACGACCAGACAATCTGCAAGTATTCAACATTTATACTATTCATACTATACATTTATATTATACATTTAGTGTTATATAATTAATCAAATGATGTTAATATCATCATGACTCACACTGTAGGTATTCCTTGAACTTGGATCGGAGTTGGTTTGATAATACCCTTTTGCTCCAATCCATATAAAATTCCTTTGTGAAACTTCATTTCTTTAAAGGTTTTCAATGGTGGTGGTACTTCGTCTCCCTCTACAAGTATCCTCAGTTTCCTCCGAACTCTCTCGTGACGTGCCTCACCGAGATTGAGTATCATCCTTGGTGGTTGCCAATTAGTCTTGATAGGATCTTTATATTGAATACCTTTGGCTAATTCAGCCACACCCATTAAAGCTTTATTCTCAGCCACACTTTCCAGGATCTTTTCTTCTTCTTTTAATTGTTTTTCCATGGCACTTTCCTTCTTGGCTAAAATGAAAAAAAAATTAAAGAAGAAATTCTTAATTAGAATGTAATACTTCTTTGTTAGTATTTGTCAAAAGTTTGTTCATAAAGATTTTGTACCTTCGGCCAGTTTCTTTAATTCAGTATGTTGGTCAAGAAGAGAAATATTAGATTTCCTCCCCCAGACCTGTCCATCGTCATTGTCAGCGTCGTCCTTCTCATTCTCGCTGCTGCTCTTCCCAACACCATTGCTAGTTTCCTCCTTTAACTGACCGAGTTTACCCAATTTCGAGAGTAGCTGCCTCTTACGATGCTTGACAGATATGTATGGTTCATAATCATCATCTGTATCCAAAGGACTATCTTCTTCTTCTTCTTCTTCCCTTCTATATCTCTGTATGGAAAATAACATTTGTCATGAAGAGATAGAAATATAATACTCGAAAATTTCACAAGGATTCAATCATATCAAACAAAATCCATAGCAAAATGTTTCAAAATTTACTAACCTTTATCAGAGGTTCGTTGTTATCCTGATTATTCTGATTATCCTGATTATCCTGATTATCCTGACTCATCGTGGAAATAACCGTGTTACTGTGACGGAATTATCCGAGAGATAATATACTGCGATATATTAAGGCATCAATTAATGTATTAATGTATTAAGGTATTAATGTATATATTTTGTTATTATTTCGTCTAAATCGAATAGTTTACAAGCCGCCTTCCGCGAAACTTCACAGAACATATACTAAGAGAAATGAAAGCTCTGTATATAAGATGGGCAACAAAAGATAAGACACTGCCATCTGATGGTGGAGTGCGAACTAAAGTAAATTGTAGGGTTGACGGGTTTCGTCTCATATATACACGTAATCTTTTCAATATTGAAATTTGAAACATTAAATGAAACATATTAAATGATAATTATATGATGATTAAATAAGTATGTAAAATTAATAAAGATAAAAATAAGCACTATATACCAAATAGATATATTTATTACAAAATAAACTGCACAAATACAATATATTTGCATCAATATTTACATGTATTTATGAATAGAGATACCATATGTTATACTTATTACGATATATGCATTACAATAATATCACAGAAATTATCTTACATACTATATGTTGTATTATATGTTAGCATATTACTTGTTTATGTAATTGAGCCTTTCATATACATTGGATGTTTCATGTAATTCCATATATGTAAGTTCCATAGTATATGTTCTGGAAAAATAAAATGTAAAAAATTATAACACAAGATTCGTCGATTAGAATATATAAATTTATAAATTTGATTACCTTTTGCTCGTATCTGCAGACACAAAATTTCGATATTCACTGCCAATACTGATAATCTATAATATACGTGACATGAACTATATATTTTAGTATCGGAACGCAGCCTAAGGCTGAATCCTCATGCAGACACCGGCGCTTTGATACAAAACGGTAATTAGTGAAAAATAAGTGGTGGGAATAAATAATAAATACTATATAGTCAGATAACTTTATCCAGCAAACACAATGCTACATGTAATGTATATGTTAGTTGTAATTTCCTACTCAATAATGTAACTGTTACATAACACATGCGTTATATAACAATTACAATTTGTGGAATGTTGTTTGTGTTTGTTGGGTAAATAATATGATTGTTACATTTTAAATAACTTTTAAATAATCTGTATCGTACACTTATTATTTCATTTAGGATGCGTTTGTTTTGAATGCTCACGCATTGCAGACATTATTTATTTACAATTTATTTTATTTAGATAGATAAATGTATCTTATGTATTTCATCTGTTACAATAAACTATTGCTATGTATTACAAAATATGTATTAAATGCAAATTATATTTAAATCCGTAGAAATTTAGAAATGCTCAATATTATAACATTCGGATTAGACCATTATTAAAATCCTTCCAGATACGCAGTTCTTAATATTTAACATTTAATACTAATGTTATTAATAATGGTGTACTGGATACTGTTTGTTTCTTCGTTTTTGGGATACGAAACCCCTCGGAATACTCAGTCTCTCCACCGTATCAAGGCTGTATCCATCGAAAGGGTTATCATTTACAAAAAGTAATATAAAAATAATTATAAATTTCAAAGGAATAAGTCGCGCGAAAATGTATATATATATATATATATATATATATATATACTTTGTTGAAAAGTCCTTACTTCGACCTTTTTTTTCGTTAATCAATCGTTAATAAACATTTACTATTATATTCATATAATACAGCAACGTTTGGTATCGTTTAACAATGAAACAATGCGAAGAAACGCGGAGCAATGCGCACTGCCTCCTTTCCGTAGGAATACCAGCGAATGAATGACAGCACGTGGCGCGCTCATAAATACGTGACGCGCTATTCGCGCTTGTAAATATGTGACATATCAGCCGCGACATATAAACACAATTTAAGGCTACAACATAACAGTTTAATTATGAAATATTTAATAATATTACATACAAAATTTAATTTCCGAAACATTACAGCATTCGATAATGAAATATTGGGTCGGAAAAGTCATGACGTATTTTTTTCCATGTTTTTCAAAGGTCATTTATTTACATAAAGAACAAAGATCAATCAATGATCAATGATATATTGCCCGTTTTGTTCGATAACCTTTTGCCATCTTTCAGTGAATTTTATAATTTCTCGTTCATAGAAGGACCTGTCTTTATCGGCGAAAAACTGAACAAAATTGATTTACAGCCTCATCTGAATTAAATGTTATATCATGCAAGGAGTTTTGAAGAGAGCGAAACAAATGGAAGTCTGACGGCGCAAGATCAGAATATGATAGGTGTGGTAACACATCCCATCCAAGCTTCAATAATTTTTGACGGGTGGTCAAACTTGTGTGTGATCTCACGTTGTCGTGATGGAACATAATTCCTTTACTATTAATGAGCTCTGAACATTTCTGGATGATGGATTCGTTCAAACTGTCCAATTGCCGACAGTATACATTCGAATTGATTGTTTGGTTCCTTAGTAAGAGCTCGAAAAATACGACATCTTTAAAATCTTACCACACTGAAAGCATAATCTTCCTCTGATGAATGTTTGCTTTTGATATCGTTTGAGGCAAATCATCACGTCGGGACCAAGATCGTTTGCGCACCACATTGTTGTAAACAATCCATTTCTCATTATCAGTTATCAGTCGCCTCAAAAAAGGATCGTTTTCCTCACATTTAATGAGCATATCACAGATGTTTATACGCGCCGTCAAATGAACTTCTTTGAGTTCATGAGAAACCCAACTATCGAGCTTGCTTAAGTATCCCAGCTTCTTCAGATGGTCATGAACACTTGAATGATGGATGTTCAATGATTTTGCAATCTCTTGTGTCGTGTAACGTGGTTTTGACTCGATCAGAGAGGAACTTCGATCAATGCCTTTATTGTGTCGTCATCAAGCTCGATAGGCCTCCCTGACCAAGGAGCGTCGTTGAGATCAAAATCACCAGCACGGAATTTCGTGAATCATTGTTGGCACTGATATTCTTGTAGAGCATTGTTAATAAATAAATTTTACGCAATTTTTCACAACCTTAACGCGTTTTCTTCCCTTTTCGGAAGTAAAACAGTAATATATGGCGCAAATGCACAGTTTAATCTTCCATCTTCAACTTGTTATAAAATCTCCAAAACTCAACCAATCGCTCAACTTTTTTTTTAGAATGAAGCTAGAACTGTCAGCTATCAAATGACATAGCAATAACATAGATATAAATGACTCTAGTACTTCCAAAAATGAACTAGCACCATCTGTTACAAAAATGCGTCATGATTTTTCCAACCACCCAATATTAGATGATATAATCGATGCATTTTAAATACCTTCTACATGATCTGTTTACATTATCTACATTTACTGTTTAAGATGCATTTGGTTGGGCGCTCACGCGTTATAAGTATTGTTCCATCTTCCTTTGGTGTATATTGAATAATAAAGATAGAAATGCTTATGCACATAAGTGTTCAAAACAAACGCACCCTTAGTAGACTCGTTACAATTTATTTAAGATAAATATGTAGATATATCTTATGAATTTTATCTGTTACAATAAACTAATTATACATATAAAATAGTATGTAAATTAAAATTTAAAACAGTAAGAATTTTAAAGTGAAGAATTTCAAGAGAATTCATAAAATATAATAAAATTAAATATTACAAAGTGATATCTTTCCAATAGATTCTGCGCATGTAGAAAATATTAAGAATAAGAATAAATAGTAAATTTTATTATTATATTATATTCTTTTTTTCTATTCTTATTTAATCTTTTATATTTTTATCCAATTTTATTCTGTTACAATTTATTATTATAATATATTTACATAAAATATTTATATTTCATTTATATATATTACAGCTACTTATATTTAACTTGTTATTATATTTGTTTAATATTAAATTATATTAAATAAAAGGTAATAAATGTGAGAAAATTTAAATTATATGTGTAAAAAAATATAAATATTCATGAATTGTGGAAATAGCACAGTCATCAGAATGAGAGTTTATCAACAGTGTCAGAAAATGGAAGTGACTACTTAATTCCACTATGTTAAAATGAAACTTGATGATGCTAACGTACGATGATACCACCAAAAAAGACCGAGATGATCATTCTCAGGCTTCTCTTTAATACGACCATCCGATAAGAAATTTCATTTTTTACCTAGATAATACTTCTGTTTCCAGAAAGCCTATTCTTTTATTGAATATCGGTCATTAGATGTCGGATGCAATGTAAATTCTGCATTATGCGGCAATAGTCACGTGATCACACACCAATCAAAAGTATGGAATGTTCATATTGGATGGATTCAAAAACATTGAATGTATAATTTCATTCTTATTGTTCATCGAATGTTAAACAAGGATAAAGTGATATTAGGATGTTATTTCTGAATGCACTCCTGCACTTGCAACCAACTTCATAACAGAATCGCACTTATTTCTAACATTATTGTACAGCTATCTATTACTACGTTTATACGGGGTGACACCCGTTTATACGGCGATGTTAATAACATCGGTTTAATAACAACCGCAGTTAGTGATTTCTTGCATTTAATCGGAGCACATGTTTAGATTTAAAAAAATGTACCAATCGAACGCAAGATTTCATTAACTACGGTTGTTACTAAACCATTTTAACATCATCGTGTAAATGTAGAATATAATTTTATTTTGGATTTCTAAATTACTAAAGTAGATCAAAGTACAATTTGTATGTGATTTAGTATTTATGCGCAGCTCATCAGATAATCCAGTGAACTGCATAGCAGTTGTCAGATGCTTCTTCGCGCATGCGTATTCGAGTTACAATAGTATCGCATTATAGTAATAATGATTTTAAATTTATAAAAATCCTATAGATGCTCTATTTCGAAAATTTAGAACTTAATAGAATAGTCTAATTATAATTTTAAGACAACATTATTTATTGTTATATGATGCTATTATATGCAAGACTTCTATATTGCTTTTTGGCGATAAACTATCAATGAAAAGATATAAATAATATTCTTAAAATATCTCACAACACTTTACTTTTACATTCTATGTTACAGAGCTTCATAACTTTAAGTCTATTAAAAATAACAGAAAAAAATATCAAGTTTGAAATATGTTGAAGACTTTGTTTAAAATTAAAGAGACTTATGAAAGCCGCAAAATTATTATAAAAAATAATTAAAGTTTTTGTGTAAATTATAATTGAATTTAATATTAAAAAATAATTCCTGTTATTCTCAATTAATTAAACTCTAATTAAATGTTAAAAAGAGAAATATTACAAACAAAAGCCTTGCGTAA